TAAACAAAAACATATCATATTTCCAAATCTAGCAAAATAAATAAACTAAAGCTGGATATGACACACAAATAAATCATATTTGACAGGAATAACGAAAAAAGCTAGCTACTATAAGTCAGACAATGAAAACAGTGCAGACAGTCAACGTGAATTTAACAATGTTGTCATTAGCCAAAACACTCCCACAATGCTATGATTTTTGCATTCCACAGCAAAAACCGTTTCTTTTTAATTCTTAATGAAGTTTCCAGTCAAGAAACAGCCATATCGAATTTAATTCTCTCGTAACATAGTTGTATTTTTTAGATTCACTATAACTTCAGAAAATAAAACAGCAAAAACGATTTGAAGATTATTGACCCAAACTACAAAATCAACTAAACTACACTGATTCGGACAACGGCGGATACATATGACCGTCTATAACGATGCAGTTACAACCAGAGAAGGCTACCGAATATTGGCATCGCGCCATAAGAAATCGCTACGAAATTACCGAAAAGATAAATTCTGCGGGGGAGGAGTGACTTTATCCCGAATGTTACGTCGAACGTAAGATGGCAGTAATGTCGAGTCTTCCAGAAATTAAGCAGAAATGATATAGAAGAGACAAACTGGAACTGTTTTGAAGAATAAAAGGTTTGAATTCATTAATAAAAATTTACTCGGTGTGAGATGTATCAAAAACTTGTTTGAGATCTCTAAGGGCCTGCGCTAGCTTATTTAGACTATTAGCAAATTAGCAGAGAGACCGTGAAGAGTGAATTGTTACGTTGCCAGTTTGCCTACATTGAACTTAGCATGTCAAGCTTGATTAACCGCAAGTGTAAAAAATGAGGATATAATTTGGATTAGATTGACAGGGAATCCGGCGAATAGGCCTTGTACGGAGTTACGCACTCGATGGCACACGCGGTATACTTCTTTTTGGAACTGTTTTGAAGAAGTGGCGTTTTGCGATTTTTCCTTTGAAAAACGCGTGAGTTTCTGTTTGTTGGTGTATGTATTAAGCCAGTAACTTGTGTTTTAGGGCAGTGATGTAGCCATGATCAAAAAAATAACTTTGTTCTGACTGGAAATGGTCATAAAGTGGTAGAACGGCGCGATTACCAACATTTGAAAGGAGACAAAATCCGGACATGGCGGCATTCAGTACTGGGGTTGCCACGATATCTGCACACACATTGCACGGTACATTCGCGAAGAATGTTTACCGCAGGGACAAGTGAAGAAAAATTGCTAGTAGATATTTGACCCTTAAATAACAGAGGCAGACTTGCGCAGAACTTCCTTTCTAGATTCCTTTCTAGGTAATTGAGCCAGTTCCAACAAATATCTCTTGACATGAAAGTGAAAATAAAATGAGCGTAGAAAGTAAGCTTCCTATGCAGCATCGTGAATTAAAGTGGTTTGAAAAAATGATTTGGAAAACGCTAAGGCAGATCTTATCACAGTTGCGGTTTTTATCGAGATTTTTGTTTTAGCTTTCGTGGTGTCTATTTGGAGAAGACGGAAAGTATAATTGTATTGAAGTTGTATTAATTATAGCTTCTGAGTCTGGAGTAATTAAGTTGATGGGTTAGTTGCTGTGGTTGCTCAAGGTGTGACGAAAGACCTTCAAACAGAAAGTGGAAGTTCTGCAAGTGTTTTCGGGGGATTTTAAGTTGATCTTTACTGTAATAATTTCAAATGTGTTGGTAGAGCAAGTATTTCCAGCCAAAGACTGTTAAGACCAGACGTATTAATTGTTCCAGAAAATGAAAAAAAAATTCTTTTTTTTTTGTTTTAGTATCGTTTCTTTATTTTTGTGCATAAAAGAATTGGTCTTCTACGCATTTGTTGATGAATAAATAAAGAAAAAGATTAGAAAAAAATTGATAAAAAAAATACTTAAATAGTTCAAGCTATTATTGAACTTTTTGTTTTCTGCAGTGCTTTCTTATCTATTTATTTTTTCTTTTTTTTCAGATGCAAAAGTTAATTCTACAAATTTACTTCAGAATAGAGTCTTTTTATTCTCGAAATCAATCTGGAAAGTTGTTAAGCAGTACGAAAAAATCTCCTGCTCTCCAGCTTCATCGTTATTTTCAACGCTGACGCGTTAAGGCCCAGCAGTACAGAAAGTTTTGGTACACTGGTGCAGTAGCTGAAATAATATTCAAACCGCTTTCAGTAAAGACATCGAGCTCTCTGAAGGGTCTAAAATCGAGATGCGTTAAATTGCAGCGTCACTATTGGCCACACAGACATTGCGTTGGTCAATTTTGGTTTACAACTTCTATATCCTCATTTTTCCTTGAAGGTGTGCTGCGGTATGCAAATCTTT